CCGGTCCCGGTCCCAAAAAACGTCAAAAACCCTAACCGGATCATAACCGGCGGTCCCTCAACCGGTCCCTACCGGTCCCGGTCGGTCCCGGTCCCTCTCCGGTCCCGGTCCTGGTCCCGGTCCTCCGTCGGTTACGGGCCGGGCCGGGCCGGGCCCATTTGGCCATCTCTACCCTAGAGACATAAACATTGCGTGTGACTTACTTTGTATGCTTTTGTTTCACACATCTCATTGGAATCGTTAAACAACCGAGGCCGAACATGAATATATTTTTCAAACCTTGATGGTTTGATTTGGTCTCGAATGTATTATATGATATTTAACCAGTTGGGTTGTCGTTATTGATTTTACGTGTTTTACTCTGTATATTATCACACTTCGTATTGTTGAGGTTTATTGTGTTTTCAAACTATGTATTATCACATATGATATTGATAATAGATACTTGAGTTTTACCAAGAATATTATTAAATTTATATTTGATTTAGGATATCACTTGCGATATTTGACGAAAATTATGAGAGAAAAAATTCTTATAAAAAATTAGTGATAAAAATCATGAATTATTAAAATCCAAAAATAAATAAATTTAAAGATTTTTAATTTATTCAAATAGTTGTAGTTGATCCCATTGAAATATTCCTAATTTCTAAAAAGTATTTATATTTTAATTTATGGTATTTTCTAATGAATTATATGCATGATTTAATATATATTAGAATGGTACTCATACAATGCAACAAGATATATTTAGATTTTAATTTTTCATTTTATTCATTTTCTCTGTCGATATAATACGTGGTTTTAAAAAACAATAATATTTTTATTTTTGAATGAAATATAAATTTAAAAAAAAAGTATCGATATTAGTGTTAAATTAACTATTTAAAAATTTTCATTTTTTGTGTAGTTTCTTTAATTCAATTTTCTATTATAAATTTAATTTAGATTTAATAACAAAGTAATTTATTTTTGTTTAATAATATAATTTTTATTAAGAGTATAATTAAATATTCTGTTAAAACTCAATGATTATCTTAATTATATTTTAATTTTTTATATTGAAAATGAAATGTTTATCCTGTATTTGATTATGTTTATCTGCGGTTAGTTACACAAATTCAAAAATAAAGTTTTAATAAGTTGTGTTTACGTACAATTTACTTGTATTATTGAATTTTAAGTAATATACATCAATAAACAGTATTTCATGCATAAAAAGTTGTTTTTAAGAATTTTTATCAAATGTTTTATAATATGGTATAGTAAATGAGAGATATCAAACGAGAACATAATCAAAATATTAAGAGAACACGAAAACATCATGTGATTTTACATTAAAATCACATTCGAGTATTAAACACGGTCAATGCAAGGTATGTATGGGTAACTTCGCCCGCAACCAAGGTCGCATGTTATCAAGGCTTGGTTACATTTTTGTCTTATTCACCAATCAGCCCAAACATTTTGATTGATTATAAATAAGCATTTGAGTTGGTAGTTATTCATACAAATCAAAACATTTTCAAAGCTCTTAATGAAGCAATCATTCGTATTTTCATATCCCCATTTATAAAAATAAAAAAAACCAACACAACTTTTTTTTATTGATTAAGTTCATAAACTGTTTTTGTAAATGAACTTTCTCATATTGAATGATTAAGGGGTCGTTTACTTAAATACTTACTCAGTAAACAGTTACCAGTAAAGTTCAATACTATCACTTACTTACCGAGTAAGATTTTAGACTAACCAAAACGACATCATATGCAATAATTTAGCTGGCAAACGTTAATTGTGGCAAGAGTCGTCGTCCGAGTATGGACGGACTCAAGAATTTTTGGATACGGTGGTCCCATATAAAACGGTTGCACCTTCTAGAATAAAACGGTTGCACATTTCACGAACCCAATTTTTTTTACCTTACCACGGAGGAACAATACGGTGGCATGTGCCACCTAACCACCCCTCTAGGTCCGTCTATACCATCGTCCTCACTTACCGGGTAAGACTCGATCTTTGTCTTCGCTCTTACGGGGTAAGATTTTTGGTCCTTGTCATATTCATCCGGTAAGATAAAGTGACTTGGTAAAAGCTTATCGAAATAAACGTTTTGTAAGCGGCCCCTTGATCATTCAAACATGAGAAAGTTCAATGGTTTATTCATTCAAAAAAAAGTTCAAGAACTTTGGGGTTGTTCAACAGTTGCCCAATGATTTAGTGCAAAATGATTAAGTGGTCAGATCGATTAAGAAGCTCGCATGATATAGTACAAAATGAAATATAATTGTTTCATAATTGTTTACGATGAAATTAGGGTGTTGAATGGTTAAAAGAGACCCATGATATAAAATCATTCAAAGGGTTTTAGAACCATTAAAACACAGATTTTTTTTTTGTCAAACAAAATTCACCTCTTAACGATTTAAAGGTTCTCTTAATAAAACTATTATTAGGTAAACAAACAACCCCTTAATCATTTGAAATGGAAAGTTTGATGGTTTTTTTTTTTAATTTTTACCTCTAAAAAATTAGTTGATCCAATGTTAATTTGAAAATTTTGAAAAAATGAAATAAAAATTAATCCATTTACGAGACCAAGCATTAAGGGTGCGTTTGATATGCAGACTACATGGGACAGAACGGGACAAAAAAAATAGTTTCATGTTTGGCATGCCATGGACAAAAAAAACATGGGACAATGTGGGACTATTTTTAATTTTAGTGGGATAAATCTTGATATTTTTTGTTCCACCAAAAAAGGTAGAACAACATGGGACTAAAGTTAAAATGACAATATTTTGATTGATTTGTTGTCATTTTACAATCATTATATGATATAAAATAACATTGAACAACATTTAGGGGTAATATGGTCATTTTAATAGTTTTGTTCTGTCATGTCCTAGTCGTACCAAACATAGGACAGACAATTAGTCTCGTCCCCTCTTATACTGTCTCGTACCGTCCCGTCCCGTCCTGTCTCATCCAGTCTGCGTATCAAACACTACCTAAAGAATTGGTTATGGGACCTATTGTAACCGGTTACAAATTTTTTAAAGGACCGGGTCCGAAACCAATTATGGCGAAAACCCGGTTGTGAAATGACGGACAAGGACCAAACTCCAACATAAAACTCACAGGTACAGTTTTCTTAAATTTAACTGTGAATGAAAATATATGAAACCCTGTTAGTTACTCTTTAAAAAAACCTAAAAAAAATGGAAGGTTCCCAAATGATATTGAGAATAAATTATCTAAGTCCAGCCGATGTAGGAATCCAATAGTGGGATTGAACTCATACCATCATACAGAAAACTCGAGCACGTGACGACTTCGAACTCTTGAGAACAAACCTTCTAACACACATGACCTAAATAACTTACAAACGGCTTTACGATAGGAAATTGTTCAATAAACGGGCTACTCCCTCGGAACACGTTTACAGAAAGAAAATGTTCTACATAATCAAAGATCGTTGGCATACAAACAAACAACCAACCCCTAGTTTATTACGATAAGAGCATCACCAAATGCAACGGTAAGTAACATGCAATCCCGTTATTTCACCATTGTACGTCACTTCAATCACCTGTCCTTTCTCCAGCCCGTAATACTGAGCGATCGCATCCTTTTGTGACATTCTCGGAAGCTGAAATAAAGTACGAGTACCAGTTGTAAATTCCCTTGCTTTGTATATCATACCAAACAAACTAGGTAAATCCCATGTAGACATAGGGTCATGGAGTAAGATGTAAGTGGACCCTACCTCTACACATAGGTACAGAGACTGTTTCTGTAAAACAAATATACAAAAGAAAGGTTCCTATGCCATCTCTCTCCCATAAAGATTTCAATAAGGTAATCTGCATTAAGCTACTACTTAAACGTCTAAATCAAACAAATCCAGTATATCCCACCCGAATATGGGTCTGGGGAGGGTGAGATGTACGCAGATCCGACCTCCATCTTAAGAGTACACCGGTTGTTTCTGTAAAGACCCTTGGCTAGATATAAAAAAAGAACAGAGAAAAACATTTGAAATATATATATATATATATATAATATGTGTTTGTGTTTACAAAACTTACCTTTAATCCAATGGTTTAATAGATATATAAAAGAACATCCTGAAAAATTGTTTCTTTGCTTGATCTAAGAGTTGTGTTTTAGCACTTTGAAAGTGAAAACACGTAGAAAAGCACCAAAAGAATTGGATTAATCATAGAACAATGACCATTCAAGCATTTGTTGCATGTATACACTGACCTGTTTCTCGTTCAAGTTGAACTTCTTCAAGAGTTTTTCTTTCTCTACAGGGGTTATAACCCTATGCTTTGGCTTCAACACGTGTTTCGTAATGTTAACAAGCAAATCCGTTATCTGTAAACAGTAAAAGAGGTCACCCAATAAAAGTAGAAAAAGCAGGAAGCGTACCATAATATTTGTTTAAATGAATGTTCTTTTAACAACTGTCGTATCTAACGACTTTGGTCTAACTAGTCCAAGGGTCCATTCAGAGATCCCTCACAATGTGGGCCAGGAAAACGACAGGCCAGACAACCAAACCAAACGAGCGCATTATATCCCACTAAGAGGTGGGATCCGAAGGTATGCAGACTTGATCTCAACCCACGGCTTGTGAGAATTGTGCAGAAGAGAGATAGTTAGCCCAAAAAGTTTGAGGACATATATATAAAGCTGGATTCCAATGAAAATGAGTTATGGTAAGAATACTTCTAAACCGTTGGATGAGTTGATTTTTTGATCTAACGGCTAAAAAAATCCGTGGACCATCAATTACCTTCAATTGACCAAAAGCAAGAACCTTCATCAACCTTATTTTTCACTTTTATCTACACTTAACTTACCTTCATGAACTTTTACATACCTTGAATCACTTTCACATGCATGAATTTGTTTCAGTCATGGTGATAAAATTAAGTCAATGAAGGTAGATGAAGGTTTTGCTCTTACGTTCTCACCATAATTCTTATTCTTACACGATCCCAAGTCTCTCTCTCTCTCTGTGTATATATATAGAGAGGAAGGATCATGCGAGAAATTAAACATTTTGCGAGAAGGCGAGAAGTTTCAAAATCATATATGATTAAACTCCTTTGGGTGTGTTTAATCATATATGATTAAGCGTCTACATGTTGTCAATGCAACATGTGTTTAACTATATATGATTAAACTTGTGTATCATGCGTGTAATCATATATGATACTGAAACTTCTCGCCTTCTCGAAAAGGTTTAGTTTCTCATTTGAACCTGCCCCTATATAGATATATATGAGTAAGCAACAACATATAAACAGTAGCAAATACATACAAGGAAACATAGCTAACCAGTTTTTAGATCCGGTATGCCAATCAAATGCATATAGAATTAAGAGGACACACACAAACAGAGATCTATAGCCTTCTATATTTCTCCAAATTGAATTACACTAAAGAAAGATCAACAAAATACTTACTTGGAATATTTCAACCGGGAATGAGAAAAGATCTACGGCTTTCATAGCCTGGTTTGTAATGTGACTTTGCACTACAATTATGAGCCGGCTTAATGTCTCCTTGTTCATTATCTGTGTTGCAATCCAACGGATGACGTTCACTTTTACTGCACCCGTCCCACAGAAAACCGCTAGAACCTGTACTTAAGGAGAAAAAAACGAACCAGAAGTTTTCAAACTTCCAAGCAGAAAAATGTACTGACAAAAAAAACCCGGTTTTTAAATTGCTTCATATGTAACATAAAAGTTTTTCACATCACCTCAAATGAGGACATATCTTTCTGTTACATGATTAATTCTTGCAAACTGAAACACAATGTCTTCGAAACATATACACTTTTTATGGAAATTGAAAATTTTAACAACCAATTTCTCCATTCCAAACAAAAAGGTACTTCTGAGGTCATTGAACCCCTTTGAATCTCTCTGCAAAAGAGCCTTTATGAAGAGAAGAGAGGTTCATATATACATACACACACATACAGGTTTGACCGTCTGTTTCTAGCTAATGTGGGACTCCAACACATTTCACATTTGAACCGACAAGAATTTTGATACGAAAGAAACACCAACATTGTTCTATCTGCAGCATTATTAGTTACCATATTTGTTGAAGTTCAAGGCAAAAAGAAGCCATACAGACATTTCCTGCTTGAAGGGATGATGGATTTTGTGAAGATTTGCATACTATGTTAAAGGACTATTGTTCATAAATCTGAGCAGGATCTACTACTCACTCTGGCACTCAGAATCTAAAGATTTTAATCTCATGTTGAAATCAAGTTTATAACCTCAAATGGCTGCAAAAAGCTTGCTCCTGAAGTATATCTACTATAATGTACCAAAGAACTAGCAGCAATTTATCAACTACATTTAATTCAACCCAAAAGAAATTTCCCCAATTTCTGAAATAAATCAAATTCAAATAACTTAGAATAAATTAATCCTAATCAACATGCAATTTTCACAAGTTGAAGCTCCAAATTGCGCAGGCAAAACACCAATTTTCCTGATTCGGCTACTGACATACAAGAATAAACCATAGCCCAGGATGAAGAATCCCACCTTTAGACTAACAAAGAAAGAAAAGTTCCAACACCACATAAACAAACAATCATACCCCAAATTAGAAACAGATCCTCTTTTGATCTTCAAGGAACAAGCACATCTCATGTTTCAAAGAAATTTTAAAAAAGAATCGAGGGAAAAGTTGGAATAAGGGGGTAGAGACCTTATTGTGGGGGTCAGAAACATGAGAAGCGCTGATACGAAGACGATCGACGTCGGTAGCTTGACCATGGAGGTCGCGAAACTGCTGGAGAGTGAGGTCGATTTCCGAATTTGAGATATCGTAACCTCTGTCTCTGAGCATCTCCAACAGAGTTCTACGTGATAAGTAGTATCTGTGACTCTCTGTGCTACCTTCGTCAACAAAGCTGCTCAAACACCTCCCTGTTCCTCCGCCACCATTAGGCATCTCCGTTTCCATGGCATCCTCCGCCATCTCTCTAGAATTGGAGTGGTGGGTATTTACTGTTCTTTAGAATTCGTGCAGTTTTGTCAGTGTTAGGTTTCCTGAAAAGCGATGATGGTGGGTGAAACTGGAAACTTTTATCGGCGAGAGTTCCTTTCGAGTTTAAGGGTGTTGCTTTTGACCTGAGTTAATGAGATCTTATGTAATTTTTAGAGTGAAGATCTGTTTTAGTCCCTAATATTTTTCTACTTTAACGAATTTAGTCCCTCCATTTAACAAATGTAATTTTTTTTCAATTAAGCCGAGTTAAATAAAAGATATTTTGGCCATTTTACCTATTTTCTTATTTATTTTACAAAAACTAAAAAGTATTTATATATATATATATATATAGGGAAGGGTTCAAACGAGAACCCCTGTGATTTACAAAAACGCGAGAACAACCTATTAACATCATATTGTTGTAACAATAAAAATTAAAAGATTTTTTAAATTAAAAATGAAATTAAAACAATTCAAAAAAAATTGAGAGGCAAAAGGGTAATATTGGAATTCAAAATGATAAAACTTAAAAAACACCATCACACTAAACCCAATAATTTGGATTACATATTGGGTTATTATGGTTATCGTTTATTTTAACACGATCTGGTGTGATTTTGGTGTGATGTGAGTGTGATTATCACACAATTATCACAATGATTCCGCTCGGCTAGGGTTAACTTAGGAAATCGACTACCGATTTGGTGTGATATGGGTGTGATAATCATGTGATATCACTATCATAAAAGCGACTCGATTTGATCATGGTTTCGATTTGTTAGGGTTAGACAATCACACATTTATCACAACGATTACTCATGGTTTCGATAAGTTAGAATTAGATAATCGCACATTTATCACAACGATTACGGGCGAAATCCACTAAACGATTTGGTGTGATATGGGTGTGATAATCATGTGATATCACTATTATAACATCATGTGTGCACTCAATTTGATCATGGTTTTGATCGGTTAGGGTTAGACAATCATGCATTTATCACAACGATTACTCATGGTTTCGATAGGTTATGGTTACACTCGATTGATCATKGTTTCGATAGGTTATGGTTACACAATCACACAATTATCACAAGGGAAGATAATAGAGTGGAAACGAACGTGCAGGAAAAAAAAGGATAATTATAATTAATTAAAATAAAAATTATAAAACTTACTTAATTACATTACTGCCCTTATTAATTTATTTATATTTAATGTAAGTTAATTTATTAATTAAAAAAGTTTGAGGTTATTGGGTTGTTCACGCGTTCTCGTAAATCACATGGATTCTCGTTTAAACCTCCACCTATATATATATATATATATATATATATATATATATAGAGAGAGAGAGAGAGAGAGAGAGAGAGAGAGGAGCGTGTGTGTGTTTTTCAAATACGAACCCTCTAATTAGTGCAAACCATATAAATTAATCAAATGGTATGTCTATAGAAATATTTAAAGTTTATTTATTGTGATCTGAATATTAATAGAAGATGATTAGACTTCATTCATTATAGTACTTTAGATCAAAAAACAATTGAGATATTTATAAATCTGGATATTCTAATAAAGGTTTTGTATTTGAGAGCTTGTATTTGAACCCGCTGCAATGTAGCTATATATATATATACTAGTTTTGTACCCGCTGCAATGTAGTTAAATATAAATTTTCTTGTAAATAAAAAATTTAGTTGATTACTTATAAAATGTTCTACGCTTTAAATTATGTGGTGGTTTGCAAATAAAATAATATTTTGATAACTAAATGAGAAATATTAAGGTTGCAGCGAATAAAAATCATTCACCAAATAGGGGAGGTTTTTTTGAATAAATAGTTTCTCTTTAAATCTCAAAAGAATTTGAGAACTTTTTTTCAACAACTTCAGTCTTCATTCCATCTTCGAAAGATCAACAGTATTTGTAAACATTAAAAATATCATAGTATTATATTTTCAAACAAGAAAAAACTATAAGACGAACTTATTGAAATAGAACTATGTAAAAAGACATGATGTGTTGAATATTGAAATACTTTATGAGTTTAAGCAATTTATTGCATCTATAATGTTGGATTAACCTCTTTAACATACAACGTCTGTAAACATAAAATAATTGATGAGTGGGTATTAATTGTATTTGTAGATAGTGCGACTTTATAATGTCATATTGGCCAACATGCATAATGTTGAACTTATTGAAATCATTTTTCTATACTTTCTTCCCTATAACCTCTCTCCCGCTTCTTCTAGACAATCTGCAAATAATCAAAATTCAATCTTCGAGAGTTTTCCTGTTTGGGACTTCATTGGTGTCAATTTTGATGTCTGCAAAGTTTATTGGCTTCTCAGCATGTCGTCAGAATCAACAAGAACCTGTCAGAAATAACACTATTTCTGGAATATGTTGCAGTCAATGTAAAATTTTGTTGTAATCAGAAACAAAAGATTAATACAACTATTGAATAAATATATGTTATTACTTGGATGTTAATCAGTAAAAAGATTTTAAGGGAAAAAGTTGCAAAATTATCAAAGAGAAAAATATGTGCATCAAAATTATCTCGATAACTACACTTGATACCGGTAATTTAGGTATACAGATAGACTATAAATAATAATTATTTATTGATTATAAAAATTAATTATATATTATAATAATTGTGTTTTAATAATAAAAAATATTATTATTATGATTATAATGATATTAAAGGTGTTCTTTTTGTATTTTTTTTAATGTGTGATTTGAATTGATACATGAATAAAATAAAATTAAAAAATGAGTCTTTATCCAAAAACGATAACAAAAAGTATGATATATGAACAGCAAATAGTAACATTTGAGATACGGATAAACTCAAAACCAATATGGAGATGATAACCACTTCTAATTGTTAAAAGAGATAAATTATTATATTATAGGGTAAGTCGCCGACATAAAATAATACAGAAAATATTGAACTTTTCATCTTCAAACCAAAATTTTGATACCAAGAACTGAAATTAAGTTATCCAGAGACATAAATCTAGATAAAAAACGAAAAACCGTTTAGAGCAAGCAGAGGTAACCTAATTGAGATTTTGGGAAATTTTAGAAAGAATTTTTTAACTTACTCTTCCAATTTCATCTGCATTAATTAGAACAAACTCGTTTCCTATTGTGTGAACCTGCAAGTCTTTTAGGTAGTGTTTGGTACGCAGACTGGACTGGACTGGACGGGACGGGACATGACTAATTGTCTGTCAAATGTTTGGTACGACTAGGACAACACAGGACAAAACTGTTAAAATGACCATATTACCTTTAAATGTTGTTCAATGTTATTTTATATCAAAAAAAATTCCAAACGAACATAATCAAGATCATTTCTATAGCATCAAAACGGGTTTCCGTGAAGAAATGTTTGCTGAAATGCAAATTATGTTTTTGGAAGATTATATGATTTATGGGAACTGGTTTTTATTGATTTTTGTGTAATGTTCGAAGAGAATGGAAGAAGAAGCATAAGAAACTACACAAAAACACAGTATGTGTTGGCATTTTTGTAAATATATAATTAATTATTTTTTATAAATTGTGGAAGAGACGGGTCAATGAAGAAGGTTATGGTAATTAGGTTTTCTATTGGAAACAAGGGTAATATAGTCGATTGATATTTAGTCCCATGTTGTTCCATCTTTTTTAGTGGAACAAAAACCATTAAGTTTTGTCTCATAAAATTTAAAAATAGTCTCATCTTGTCCCATGTATTTTTTGTTCATAGCATGCCAAACATGAGACTATTTTTTTTTGTCTCGTCCCGTCCTATGTAATCTGCATACCAAAAGCACAGTTAATGAGTTATTGGTCGTACACGTGAGAATCCCTCTCAGTTGTCTGGCAAGCTACGTCCCCTCGATCCCGCCAACAGCAACAAGTTGGCAAACACCTGTAGAAAACGCCGTTGAATTCAGCTATTTGGCGTTTTACAGATGCAAACATTGATTCTACACAGGAACATTCTCGAGAAGAAGATGTTGGAAGCGAAAAATAAGAACCTAATCATGGCCGAAATCGAACCAGAGTTGAGAAAACTCTAGAAAAATAGTGGAACCTCTAGAAATTTCCCAAACAAAAGCTCCTATTTCGAAGAATGAATACAAAACGACGATTGCATGAGCGGCCGCAACGAAGCTATTGAGGTGTAATTTTGTTATGTTTTCTGATGAATTTCTTAAATTAATCCGTTGAAAGCAAAATGGAGTATTTTACTGGAAGACGTCGAAGTCGTACCAGTGAGGGGAATCGAATGCGGAGGAAGTATTGGTTGTGAGCATGAAAATGGTGGCAGTGAAACTGAAAGAAAAAGCGGAAAGACGGAAGACGAAAATCAAAATATTGAAATGGTGGAGGTTGCATGAGAATGTGGATTGGAAGAGAGGCATGTCGTGAGAATAGGTCTAGTGGATCTGCATAAAATCTCATATTTTATGCAGAAAACTTTACACATAAAAAGATTTTCTGCGTAAAGTTTATTTTCAGGTAAAAAAATGGGATTTTACGCAAAAAAAACTTTACACATAAACTTTATGCAAAAAAATAGATTTTCTACGTAAGTAAAGTCCCAATTTTTGTATAAACTCCCTCATTTTTGCGTAAAGTTCCATTTTTAATTTTTTTTTTCTTTCTTTTTTCCCTCTAAACATGTATCTTATGCAGAAAAAACTTTTTTACATATTTTTTTTTTGTAAACTTTAGCAATTTCAAAAAAGAGTTTTTATAAAATAATCAAAAAGTGAAAATCATTTTATAAAATAATTATTTATTTATAGGTCATTTACCTAAATGTTTACCCGTTAAGTGCCTACCGATAAGTTTCAACATTATAATTTATTTTGATATATAAGATTTTAGTACATCAAAACATATTGAATGCAACAAGTTACAGGGTAAGTGCTTACCTAGGTAAGAGTCGTCATCCTTACTTACTAGGTAAGACTCTCGATCCTTTTCATTGTTCTTACCCGGTAAGATTTTTGGTTCTTCTCATGTTCATCCGATAAAAAAAATTATTCGATAAGCATTTACCAAATAAGTATTTAATAAACAAACTCATAATTTCCCAAAAAA